GCTTCGAGCCCTGTGTACAGGAGCTGCATGCTAAAAGATCTTTTGTTAAAAGGGTTGGCGTAATAAGCAAATGCTTCAGCCAATACCTTTTGATTAGCCTTGTCTCATGCTTTCTTGCTTTGTGGTAAATCTTTGTTCTGTCTTCACTGAGATATTTGAATGCTAATCAATAAACATATCAAACAAACAAACAAACACACTTGAATCACATGATTAGTTCGTTACCGAGCCTCTGGACAACTTCAGGACATGTTGAGGAGGTAATTTAGCCATTTGAATCAGCTGTGTTGGATCAAAGACACATCTAAAACCTGCAGGACACCGGCCATTGAGGTCTGGAGCTCCCCACCCCAATCTACAACATCAAATGCTGCGCTAAGACAAAACCAGTGTAATCACTGTCAGTCAGACTGTCAGTCTGTTTTCCAGATTGGTGTCACAGACCCAGAGGACCTGAAGAAGGTGCTGACTGCTGTGCAACAGATGCACCTGGACAAAGTGGACCTGGAAACAATCAGGCAACTGGGACCTGCAGACAGTGGGTAAGGTTACAGATCTTAACATATATAGTCTTAAGTTTACCCTGAAGCCTTCCTTGGTGCCAAGATGTTGTTTTTTGTTTTTTATTTTATTTATCAATTTATTTACTTTTGCTCTTTAAAAACAAAAATAGTTAGCATTTTATTACTGTATTGTTCTCAACAGTGTATTTAACACCAGAACCAGGCAAATGTTTTGACTGAGTTGTCAAAGTGTGAACTAAAAATGAGAGCCTTCAGTTTTCTGGCCCCTCTACTGTGGAACCAGCTCCCAGTTTGGATTTGAGAGACAGACACACTCTGTACTTTTAAAATGATGCCTAATAGCTTTCTGTTTCTCAAAGCTTGTAGTTAGGGCTTGATCTGGTGACTCTGAACCATTCCTTAGCTACAATGCAGTAGGCTGACGGTGCCGGCGGTTTTATTCCGTGATGCATTGAGCTTTTCTTCTTCACTTCTTCACTATTTTCTGTGTGTTTACATCACTCCTCTGTTTTTGCCTCCTTCTTCTATGGCAAAGAGAGACCTTTTGTCCTGTCTCTCTTTGTTCTCCCCTCCCTCCACAACCAATTGCAGTTGCTGCACCTCGTTAAACCAGGTTCTGTCCAAGGTTCCTGTTAAAAGGGAGTTTTTTCTTCCCACTGTCATCAAGTGCTTGGTCACAGAGTTTTGTTTCAAATATTTTAAGGTGTTTACATTAAATAAAAGTATCTTTAGGTGACTGGTGCTGGGAATAGATACTATATAAATGAAATTGATTTAAATGGAACTGAACTCAATTTGTTGGAGGTTTTCTTGTGGATATTTTTCAGCAAGGAGGTCTTCAAATTAGAATGAAAATTAATTGAATCAGGGCTTTCTTCGGTGCATAAAAATCATTGTAGAATTTGGTGTCAGAAAACTTGTCAATCCTGAAAGAATTTGAAAACCTCAGTCTGCCAAGAATATTTGATAAGGAGCAAGTATAAAAAACATTCACAAACACTCTGCATGAAGACAGAAACAAAGTTGACAGTAGTAGCAAAATTTTAAACACTTGTCAGCCCCACACCTTAAACCCTCCCCCACATTCAGCCCACTTCCATCTTTTTGTGATGCTCCATTTGTCCTCCTCCACTGGAAGTCGTCCATCAACCCTATAAGCATCTCACTGTCCTGGCTCTATCTCCCTCCCCCTTATCTCCATAGCCGTGCCCAAGCTGGGACTTAATGGTTTAAGCGGAGCTGTAATGATTTGTAAGGTGAAGGCGATGGGTGGTTGCAATGAACAGAGCGTCAGAGGCCAGACAGTCATCACACCGCACCCCATCACTTAATGAATCCTCTGCTGAACAGGACTCATTTTCTTTGCCTTTCTCACCTGCAGGATGAGAGACACCCCAGGCAGTCGGTTAATAACTGGGATGAAAATCTTTATCAGGGCTAGAACTCTGTAAAAGCTCCTTCAGGATCTAAACACTGAAAAAAAGTTGGATACATAGTTGGCAGCATTGGTAAAATGCTTGGAAAGGACTATTAGTTTACGTCAGTATTTGTTCCTATACACCATAGGTTACAATCTTACAGATGTTTTATTGCCAAGTGGATGCATTTATCACATTTGTGGGTCTCGAGAGTTTTTGTCCACATGTATAGATTCTGTTTTCAGCCGAATCTAGCTAAGTAGTTGTAACAAGTCTGAAATGGGGGAAAAGAGGTTTTTATGTCTTTTTTCCTGAATATGTGGTGTAGGTGTTAAGCCATAAAAGGGTTGAGTGCCTACAAAAGGTTTGGAAGGAGTTGCTACTCCAAGTGGTAGACTTAAAGTATCTTGGGTTTTTTTTTTTTTGCAAGTCAGGGGATAAGAAGCTCAGTCATACAATCTTTTTCGTTTGCGATTTTTGAATTTGTCACAGATTGGTGTCCTTTGCTTAATAATGCTCAACTATGATTAACATTTTCTTTTATTATTTATTGACCTGTAGGGACATGTTTCAGTTCCAAAAATCAAATCATAATCCTTGAAAAGTTTAATAATATGTTTTAAGGGTTGTAGTTTATTTCGGAGACAAATATATTTAAAAGTACCCCAATGTTTGGCATGACAACGGGTGATTGAAGACCTGCTGGGCCAGGTGGCTTGCACTACATAAGCCACCACCACCTCCAAACAAAAAATTGTAAAACCCAGACTGTTCAAATGTAAGCAAGTAAAGTAAAGCACCAGATATGTTGTTTTTCAGGATTATTGTACTGTCCTGAAGTTGTAAACCTAGCTTATGTTTCATTATCCCTTTGTTAGCATCTTAATATAACCTTAAAAATAATTGACTTTGATAATATATAAGAATTGACTTTTAAAATGATGGTAAACATTACCTATGGCAAAGTAAAAGCCTTGTAAGGAAGGATTGCATTGCTGTTCTTCTGGAAGTTAAACAATAAACATAAAACTATATAAAAATAATAATTGCAGGTCTAAATTTGCCTGAATATGTTTTTAGTGTGAGAGAAAGTCATTTGGTCCATGTCTCACTGGTAAAGCTGTTTTTGTTCAACTGCTTGAATCAAAGCTGAGTCTGCGCTTTGATTATGATATTGTAGTGGTATATGAAATTCTAAAAATAGTTTCACTGGCCAAACAGCGTATCACTCCACTCCCAGCAGCTACCACTGAGCAAGGCATTTGCTGGGTTTGGTTTGAAAAAGACAGGGAAGCTTAATGGTTTCCCAGCCCTCCCAAAAATCCCCAGATAAATAATTTTCAGTGGCTCTCATGCATCCTCTGTCAGCACTCAAACATAATGTCTGTTATGCCTTCAACGACCTGCCCACCCAGGCCCATCATCACTCTCTTCCCCCTAGATAAACTAACAGGAGGAAGAAGGGAGGAGAGGGTGCAGCACAGGCTGACTGACAGTGTTTACTCGCCCCTGTGACAGAGTGTGAGGAGGGCCGGAGTGGCTGGCTGCCCAGTCCCCTCAACGAGGAAAATGTACCATTAAGATAAGAGCTATCAATATTCCACAGGTCCAGAGGATGGGAATAGAGAGGGACGGCGTTTGATTAATCTATATAACTAGTCATTTAAGGTGCATGTTTTCAGAGAGGGATGACAGCATTGGGTTAGTGCGAGGAGGAGGTGCGAACAAGGCTTGGCCACCTGCTCGGTTTGCTGTAGCGTGTTAAGGTTATCGCCAAGAAAATGCATGGAGCTCGTTAATGCAAAGCTTCATCCAAACTACCAATTAGTCTGCACTATCATAGCTGAGCATCTTCAGCTAATTCTGCCTTGCTTTTTTCATGTGGACCTTCCTTTCAGCTTTAGTTTTTAGACAAGTAAACCACTTGACCTTATTTTTAAATGTCAGAGAGAGTTATTTATCTGTCTAAAGATTAAGTAGGGTTGGTTTTCAGGTTATTAAGTAACCAACCAGCTGGTTTGTATAGGACCTTGTTTTTGTTTGTTTGTTTGTTTTTTAAGGAAGGTTTGTTTACAGTCAAATCTAGGACCAACTTTTTTGATAAATGTCTTGATAAGTGGTATAATATTTAATGACTAATAATATTTGCCATACAGTTAAAATGCATTAACCTCCTAGGACATGGTGTCCACATAAATGGACATCACATTTTGGGTTGTCTAGACCAAAATACTAAATTTTTCTCTCAAGGCCTGATATCCACTTATGAGGACGACATACTGCCACTGTTCTGTCGAAATTTAAAACAAATGTCCTCATATGTGGATCTTATTAATCTCAGAAACAAAAATCAGGTTAAAAAAAATGAGGTAATTCTTTGGCTTTACATTCATCAGGTCCCAATCAGCCCAAATAGCAAAGAGAAATTAAAAATGCATGCCATGAAAGAGTTTGGGTCTTAGGAGGTTAAACAGAATAACATGAAAGATATGTACCCTATGTATGAAAAGATTGTTTTTTAATTAAAAATGTTATGATCATTTTATCAGGCCTTTCTCATAAGTTCCACATGTTTGCAGGAGTGAGGAGCTGCAAAACTTCCTCTTAAGTATCAGTCAGCAGTGCTGCTACCTGACAGAGACCATTCAAGACGTCTTAAATCGATTCCCTCGCCAACCCGCTCAGGTGCAGCTCATACCCTCTTTACCTGTCCAGTTATTAGGATTTTACCAACCACGAGATAACAACTATGACTGGCCAAATTCTGTGTCTATTAAAAATTTCATAAATAAAATGTATAACAGATCTAATGGAAATATGTTTTCCAGCTAAAAGTTTTCAATTCACTATTTTTTGCACATGACATCCTTTTATCTCGTCTTTCGTCCCACTACATTTGTGACATAAAAATCATCACCATCTCTCTCTGTCTCTGAGAAGTTGGTTTTCTCCCTGGACCCAAAGAAGGAGGCTCAGACCATCTGCAACCAGCTAGTGGTCCAGACAAAAGATCTCCAAAAGGAAGTCACCTGCCTCCGCAATCTGCTTTGCCAGGTTGACACACACACACGCGCATGTACATTTTGACATTATTTATCTTATGAATCACTGAAATGATAAAAATTTAAAAATCTATACACCGTATATTTGTTTTTGAGGCAGTGGTAATTTTGGCGTCTACACAGCTGTAACAACATTGGAGAAAAAAATTGTTGTATTATATGGTTGTATTATTGTGGAGTACTACAATATATTACAATACAAAGTGGCTGTTGTTGTGGTTTGGTGCTATGTAAATACAATAAAATGACATTTGTTGTTGATTGTAACAGTAAATACAAAATGTGTCAATGCACTGGTAACAAGATAAAAGTATGAATAAGAGTAAAATCTGTCAGACCTGACACTAATAGTGATATATATGTGATTACATTAAAAGCACAGAAATTGCTTTCATACAGTGCTCACTGTTACTCGTCGCACTACTGAGGATTAAAAGCAGCTTGGAAAAGCCATAGTTACATGTTGTGTTATATGTATTCTTGCGAGCTCGAACAGGTATGTACAGGAGTGTTTACATATGTGCACCTGACTCTATGTGCATGTGTGTGCATGTGTGTGCGTGTTTGCATTTGTATTCCAAGAGGAGAGAGTTGTTCCTGACAGAGCAGAATCCTCACAGCCCATAAGTCAGAGCTGCTGTGACATCGACCTGTCAGCATGCAGACGATGAGGTGGAGGGAAGGCAAGGGTGGGGGCAGAGGGAAGCAAGGAAAGGATTCGGGTTGGCGGGGTGAGGGAGTTTAAAAAGGGAGAAAAGAGCACACTGTAGAGGTGTGGGCATGTTGTAAGAAAAGGAGGTGGGATAGTAGTAGGTGCAGAACTGGCTTACTAAAAGGTGCCAGTATACCCCACTTAAAAGCTTTAGCAAGTTTTACAGTGGCAGGAGGAAGGCTTCATTTCTCGACAATTTATTTTGCACCTAGAAGCATTGTGTTGCAATTCAGACCTCGAGGCCTGTGAAGTTAAGTACACTCATGTCAAACTCCAGCCATTTGCACATTGCCTGCATATCAGTTTAGAGTCTTATTATATTTGGGACCCTGTAATTTAGTTGTGGTCTTCATAGCGACATGATTCAGTGTACATGCTAAACTAGACAGGCACAGCTACACTGTATTTGGTAGCAGAAATTTAACGTTGATGCTGAAGGTAGAGGGAGGTGTATGCTTTTATGGTGAGAAAGGAGAGGCCTGTGTATCTTGCTATGACACAATCTCAAATATTTTGCATTGCATTTTAAAACACATAGCAACAGAGATATGGAAACATGTGTGCATTGGGCGTGTCTGGTAAAGGCCCTGGTCCATGAGATCTTTAATTCCCACCTCTAGCAGAACTTGGACAGCATTCAGAGGTCATTTTTTCTGAAAATCATGTTAATCGTGATAGTTTGAAATCATTTATCAAACTGTATTTTTTAAAAAGAAAAGTACAAAAAATTAAAATTACCATAACATAAACTTTAGTGTTGTAACATTACCATAAACAGAAGTAAATGAAAACGGCCTCCTGTTAGAATACCATCCTCCGTCACTTACCAGAAGCATTTCCTTCTTGGTCAAACCACAGGTTCCTAAGTCATAATTTCTGGTATTAAACAGAATTTAAGCCCTTTGTATCCTCCAACCTTCTCACATGACTGGGATTTAGTGTGACAGTGTCACCCTGTAGCTTGAAAAATCAGGCAGCATAATTCCTCTGTGACTTGACTTTAACTGATGAATCCCTGAGGATTTGGCACAGGAAGTTTTGGTGACTCAGGTCTGAGTCATGCTGTGGTGGTGAGATGGGACCAGACATGCTCTCACTCACACATCGAGCTGGTCTCAATTTGATTCCCACCCAACAGTGACTGAGCAGCTGTTTCCCACCCATTCAAGCCTTCCACTGGTCTGACTAGTGCAACTGCTATAATCCGGACTGGATTAGATTAAACTGACCTGTGACCCTTGTACTTCCTGCATTAGTTCAGATTGGCCTTACCTCAGGGTCTGATGTGTGTTTTTATGTTTACATTTGTATTTATGTGCGTGTCCCATGTTAATCTGACTTTGTTGTCCTCACTTTAGATGGAAGAATTCAAAGATTCCTGTCAGCCTCCTAAGCCTGGTTTCCATAACAACAGGAGGATGTGGTCTCTGACCAAGAGATTTGCTCTGAGCACTCTCGGAGTCACCTTCCTCGTACTGCTCTACAAAGCTTCCAGTGGCAAGGTTTCCCTACAGTGCAGGGATACTTTTTGATCGCCTCACAGATTTGTGAGGTCTTTTGTGTTTGTTGGCTGTAGCTAAAAAGTTGGATAAGTATTGTGTTTATATGTGTTACGGGTGTTTGACAGGCATTCAGTTTTAATTTTGCTGCAGTGTTTTTTTCCCAGTTTGTTTTGACTTGTCACTGAGTTTAATTCTTATTCTTTTTAAGTTATTTTATATTTTAATGGTTTGAACCACTAAAGTTTTTCTTTTGAGAGTACGTTTCTTGTATGCTCGATTTAAGGTTGAAATCGGGATGCTTTCTATATTGGTGTCTGCCAGATGTTGAGTATAGAGTCTTGGCCATCGCCATCAGTGTTTTGAAACTAAAGACAAGCAAGTGGTGTATCTGATTGAGAAACCAAGGACACTGCACTTTCAACTTGTGGTGACATGCATGTCTATTTGTTTTCCATTTTCCACTAATTGTGACAATAAACTTAAAGTGACAGACTGAGACCATAAATTCATCAGGAAAGTGTTTGTTGAAGTTACAAGTTTTTGGGGTAGTGGGCTCATTTTTTTCACAGGGCTTCTTTTTGCCCCCTGCTGATCATCTTAAAGACTACAGGTGTAAGGCTTTGCAAAGTCGCTGTCCTTAGACCAACTGCTTGATCCTTTGTAATATACAGTCTATAAGAAAACCTAGAGGCATGTGGAAATGTGAAGCCTGCTCTCCCAAGTATACAGAAGGATGCAATGCCAAGTTCCTCCGAGTAGTTTATCAGAGTTTTTTTTTGTTGCACTGGGTTATTTTGTAAGAGGGAATCTTCACATTTAAAGGAGCCATAGGTGAATTTTCTAACAATAGAAGGGGGCAGAGTGCTTTTTCTTCTTGCTGGTAGCTAAACTGAGTCTGGCAAACAAACCACAGGTGTGAAAGTGATATCAGTTTTCTCCTTAAATTGCAGAAAGAAATCCAATCTGTATTTCAAAAATGATTCAAGTGGATTCCTGTGATGTTAATGGCCAGATTTAGCTTTAGCTGGTTGAATATTTTCAAATATCCAGCTGATACGTTTAAAAATCACAAACTCTTCAAAGTCCTTATTGTCTGATTTTGTGTCATTTCCTTTTCAGTGTTCACAAACTTTATTGTGCGCAAGTATTATCAAAAATACCTTTCTGTCCGTAAAACATGCAATGAAACTGTGACCTTAATGCGATTTGGTAAGGAAGTGAACAAATTACCCCCATAAAATTGGATTTATATCACAGGCTTATTACAACTACCGCTGCTGCAAAAATAAAGTCATGTTCAAAGTCCTGATGAGAGCAGTGAGAACGCTCCAAATCTTCTTGTTGTTTTATGGGTTTCTTCCACGGGGATCATGGGAACAATCCAATTTGCCCATTAATCTCATCTGGTCAAAGTCTCCAGACCTCCAGATACACCCCGGGCTAGATCAAAGATGGAGGAAACGCTGTGTGACAGTGGTACAGACTTCACCGGGACACATCAAAAAGACTGACATGGATAATCCAATTGAAATGGACACATCACCTTTAGGTGCTGCTCTGGGAGAATCGGTGCCCAGTTTTTTCCTCCTTTTTTAGACCATCATTCCTGAGTTATTAGAGTGATAGTTTGTATAAGGCTGTAAAAATAACCGTGCGTCATGCGCGAGGAATCTGAGATATTATTCACCTGTGTGGGATATGGCTATGGCGATGGGCGCTCAACATAAACAAAACACTAGTTTGATTTATTTTCTTAAAGGGTCTTTATGCTTATCAATTACACCGCTACACCATATGCCAGAGGGTTTCTCTGTTGAGCTCTACGGAGTCCTGTGAGAAAAACATTTAAAAATCATAATGTTTATCTTTTGTGCGTAAAAGTTCTTGTTGTTTTTTTGTAGCCTGTTTTTTTCGGACTGGCACATCACCTCCATTCATCATCGTGTCCCCCGATTTTGAATCTAAGCGGGTTTGGGTATTTTTCCTGTGGTGACTGACATTGGTTAAGCGTGGAGTGTGAATCCTCCCACAGCTAGCTCCTTCTCTGCGCGCGTCTCATCGGTGCGATTTGAATGAAGAGCCCATCAACTTGGACCACATCTCAGAGGTGCGGAGCTCCGGTCTGGACACGGGCCAAACCCGTCTGATGTCAAACCAGCCTGAACAGATACTCTCAGACATCTCGTTTCTTCACCTCATTCCTGAGACGGGACTCTGCCCACTCCTTGTGTAAAGCAATCTGAACCTGATAGCACAGCATCCGCGTATCTCGCCTGAGAATCTGCTCTGGACTATTAAGACAGTCGCTCTTAACCTTTTCTTCAGAAGCGCTTTGCCGCTGTGCAGAATCCCAGCCAGCCATGACTTTTACGAGCAAACCGTCTGTCCTCCGACTGTCTTGTAATACATTTTTAAAGCGAGTTTAACTCGGCGATTCAACTTTCAGCTTCTGTTTTATTAATTTTTTCCTGTCATCTGTGGAAATGCTCCGTCCAGACCCATAAAGAAACAGAGTTTGGTTAATATGCACTTATTGCCAAGCGGAATATGTTTTTATTTATCTGTAGCAATCTGCTGGCTCACAGCTGAGATCGATGCGTCCTGGTGGTAAGTATTATTATTATTTAACATTTACATATTTGTTTAAATGAAAACGCTAGTGTAAGACTTTGTGCACGTTGGTTATGTGCTATTATAATAACCTTTCAAATGTGTTGTCTTATTCTGTCATCGGTAAATTATTGGTTTAAAAAAACAGTTCCATATGCACCCTTTTATCTTAACAAAAATGTTCCCACAGTGAGTGACTAAATTCCCCCCATGGCTTGCATAATTATTTTTGCAGCTTGTTGAATATTTGGACAGATTAGTTTCCAGGCTGAAGTCATTTGATATAATTTAATTTCTCTTTATTTGCTATCCTTCTCTTGAATCTCTAATTAATATTTGCAAAGCTCCTGTTTCCAAATTCCTTACTTCGTACCCTGTGATACTGAGATGGTATTTGGAGAGATAATTCCTTTTTTGTTGCTGCTGCTTTGTGTCTTTAATCTTCAGTGCAGCCCATCAGTCTTTCATCATCTTGTTCTGCAGGTAAAAGGGAGTGTGGACTTGTTAGGAGTGATTCCAACTGATACCCCTGAAGAATACACCCTCTAGCATTCTTATTTCATGCATTAATATAAAGTAAAGGTCTTCAATTACCTTACAAAGCTTTAATATATCCACAGCTGCCTTTACACATGTTGGGTTACATACAAAATGATTCGATTTTATCCTTTACTAAAGTGATCCAGAAACATCCCTGCAAGTGCTCATCTGTCTTGACATTTACCCTCCCACTCTACAGGTACATGGGCACCCTGGGCTCCCAGGTGATGTGCGACAACATCCCTGGACTGGTGAATAAGCAGCGCCAGCTGTGCCGCCAGTACCCCAAGGTGATGCAGGCCATCGGGGCTGGGATGAAGGACTGGATCTCAGAGTGCCAGTACCAGTTCCGCAACCACCGCTGGAACTGCAACACCACAGCCAGGGACCACAATCTGTTTGGACGTCTGCTGCTACGCAGTGAGTTTCACGAGTGTTAAAGCCAAAATACAGTAGGACCTTCATTCTACCTTAACATGAAAAAAGTAACATTTACATTAAAAAAACAAAAAAATTTAGATATAAAGTTCAAAGAAGGTCCAGGGGTTCTGCCATGAAAATGAAGGTTACATGTTGATTAGACGGCTGAGAAATTAAAAATAAACTCACACTTTAGTCTGTTTGGACCCACTTTAAAAAAAAAAAAAAAGTCTTGTCTGTTTCTCTTTGTGCTACTGAATCCATAATTATTTCTTCTTTTTAAAAATATGATTATCTTCTTGCTACATATATATATATATATATATATGTATGTATGTA